CATCCAAATCAAAGGCAGTAAGTAAGTAATTTTGTTCATAGTAATGGTTACAGCCATATCTTGAATTTTTGGACGAATTTTTAGCCCAAATCTTTTAAAAAAGATAGATTATTATGTTAAGAAGTTATATATATAAATTTTATAGTATTTGAGTGCTTAACTTGTATGATATGAAGAAAATTGTATGTAGATATATCAAAACTAGGATTTGAAACAACTGTTAGGATTTTGGTGATATCTTAAGTTCCGCAAAAAATTTACAATTGAAATTTTTTGTGATAGTTGTTAGAAATACATCAATACTTCATGTAAAATTTGAGTGTGTTTGGATAGTCGAATCAGGAGATATGAGATATTGAAGTTTGGAAAAAATTTCATATAAGAATATACAAGATTTAAGATGATTTTATCATATTTTGGATGTTGTTGGTTACTTGAAGCTTACATATTTGATGTAATTGCTCCAAAAAGAAAAATTTTATATATAAACTTATGGCTTCTCTTATTTTGAAGCTTGATTGAATAATTAGTGAGAGCCATGAGCCTCGTGCTTTCTTGAGGCAAACTCTTTCTACTCCGACAACAAGACATTGCAATTGTCACAACCTTCAAGATGACATAATTAAGATGAAGACCCTCAAGAACCACATATTTTTCTTCAAATTGATGGTAAGATACAATGCTTTTGGTATGACGACCTTGGAAGAGACTCCCAATGTTTGGTAATTTTATTAAATATAGAAACAATTCCTGACGGTGTTCCAAATATTTTATTTGAAAGAAGTTATGAAGGCCTCAACAATGATCAAATAACATGGTGGTCTTTCCGCCCTAGTATGGAATACTCTGGATAGTTGAGAGATCATATCAACCATCTTCAAAGAGAACAAAGATCTGAGTATGTGGCAAATACAATTTATCTCATCATATATTTCTTCAACATATGATGATCACTCTTCATGGAACTCGTTCCTAGAAGGAGGGATAATGTAACAATGTCAAAATAGAGAGAGTTTGTTAGCTTGAAGATTAAGCTAATTATGTGGCCTACATGTAGAAAAACTTGCCTTGTAAGTCAAAGCATGTGTCCTACAAAGTCAACACATATTGGAAGTCTTATAGAACATTGCCAAGTAGCTCCTAATTAGATAGTATATATAGAGACAAGAGTGAAACCCTCTTCACTCTTCTCAACTCCTTTCTTGCTTCTAGTCTAGTTTCAAGAGTCTCAAGTTTTCTTATCTTTTGGCAATAAACCATTCCAATTTTTTTTAATATACGTACTTTCTTATTTCTATTTTTTCACTCTTTCTTTGACAAGGATTTCATTGGTTTATGCATCATCTTTTTGTTCATGTCCTTGACATTGCACCATCATTCTATTTAATATTAGCTGCAAGTTATTAGAGTTATAAAGTATATAGAGTTACATATTAAATTTTTTGTCACAAAATACAAATCTTATTAGTTGTAACACAAATTGCATTATGATCCATATACATGGATCAAAACTCTCCCAAAAAAGCCTCTAAATTATCCAATATTAGATTATAATATTCAAAAATAGATAAAAGCCATAAAAAGTAGAATATGAAATTAATATTAAAATAAATTTGACTTATGCTCTTAGAATTGAATAGTTTTGAGGTTGAAGTTCAATCACAAGTTGTACTTGATTGATGAATCTTCATAACTTTGATCTTGTGCCATCAAACTTCTTAGGTAAAAAAACTCTTGATTCTCTAATATTTGAACAATGTTCTATCATAGGAGAAGTAATATTATTTGATATAGATGTAGAAGTAATTTCAATTTTTTTTAAATCTTCTATTCTTGTCAATATTATTAGGCTTTGTTATAGTAAATTGAGTTGATACATTGCAAGCATTAATTCTTTCATTTGTTCTTGTATTTGTACCATTACACTCTTCATTTTAATAAGCTCTATTATGATAATACAATAGAAAATAATATGTCCTACATCACTTAAGACAAGTAAGAAAGAAGTCTTAAGACAAAGAAAATTCTAAAAGTAATATCAGTTTAAAAGTAGATAATCAATTCTTAATGAAGAAAAGACAAAGATTTAATATTATAAATATATTCTTATCAATCTATCAAGAAGAAGAATTCAAGAGCTATAAATAAATGACTAAGATATTTTTTAAGGAAGATAATAAAAAAATAAATAATTAAATATATATATTTAAGAAAAAATAAAAATAGCTATTGCCAAAAATTAAGAAACTAGAAACTCTTGAAATTAGATTAGAAGCAAGAAAAAAATTAACAAGAATGTAGAAAGCTTTACTTTTGTCTTCATATATATTATATAATTAAGAGCTATATACTGAAAATCTATAAGATCTCCAATATATGTCCAAATTCTAAGACATATGTCTAACTTGTAAGATAAGTTTCCTATATATGCATCACATAACCAACTTGTATCACAAGTTATCAATATGTATAATATATAGTAAACTTATTGGCAAAGATTTTAATCTACTAATCACCTATATATAAGTATAAAAGCAAAGCCACATTTATGAAGCTTCTAAGAAGATTTTCTACAAGATATTATTAATTTTATATACTTTCATTTACTTCTATCAATTCATATTATCTAAATAATTATTGGAATAAATATTTATGTCCATAAAAATAAAATTTTATTATAATACTAGAATTCAAAGAAATATTGATAAGATTAAATATAATCTAATTCTTGCTTTTATATATACTAACTAATAAAAAGAACCATAATTTTTTTTTTAAAAAAACTATAAAATTTATAATTAAATATTCAAATCTTAAGATACTTCTATAATCACTTTTTAGATGTATGATGTTTTTGAAAGAATATTCTATAGCTACATAGTGCATCTAAAGATACCTAAAAAAATTACATTTACAAAGTTTTTTTGAGTTTTTTTTAGAAAAAAATTCACACTTTGTTTTATCATAATCTAGATTACCATAAAAATATATAATATATGTTTTAAAATTTTATTAGCAAATATTTTATTTGTGAAAAAATTATACTATTAGTTTTTTGATTTATTTTTTCCAAAAAACATTCAAAAATATTATAAAATTTTAAAATTCCATTGTTTAATTTTAAAATCACCAAATAAAATTACAGGCTTTTTAGACCATTTTAATGAAGAAAATATAATACTATTTTAAATATTAGTAAAAAATTATACTTCAATAAATCTATTAAAATAAATTTGTATATATAGTCATAATTGAACATTTTAAAAAAATATTTAAGAAAATTTTATTCTCTTAAATTTATCTTCTATTTATAATTCAAATTATTTTTTATTAATTAAAAAAATTCTAAAAGAAATTTTAATATCTCTTTAATATTTTATAATTATAATTAGTTATAATTCTATTATATATTTAATGTGATATTTTGAAATAGCTTTAATATTTTAAAATCAAGTAGTATTAAAATAGAAATATATTATTTAGGGCAGGAAATTTTTATTTGATTATTTTATTATAAAATTATTAAAATAATTCTACCTTAAATTAAAAATAAATCAAAAATTTTATTTAAGAATAAGATAATTTATTTATTATAATATATGTGAGTATTTTTATGAAATTTTGATCTTTTTTCTTCTTTTTTTATATCCACAAATTTTATTTTTTTAGAAGGAATAATTTGCAATGTCCGTAACTAAATGATATCTTTCAAAAAAATTATTTATTTTGTTATAATAAGACTAATTTAAGACAAAAAATTATCTCAAAAATAGATACTTTGCAACCATTAAGATGTAATAACATCTTTCAAAGTACAAAGCAACCTACTTTAAAAATATCAAAAGTTTCAAAAATACTTGTAATCTTTTTATATTGTATAAGATTTAAGGATAAAGAATCAAAATTAACAAAGTAAGTTTCAATAAGAAAATCTTTTAATAAAGAATTTTAAAATATATAAAATTATTTAATAATCTATGAAAAATAAATTCTTCAATCTTAAAAAATAAAATTTTAAATTATGATATTTTATATTATATATGTATGCATATATTTATTTAATGTTGTACCATTTTGAGCCTACAAATGCTTTTTAAAGAATTTTTAAGAGTTTTAGAGTATCTTCTATACAAAAAATTAGAAGACTATAGAAAGTTCTAGAATTTTTTAATAATTTGTAAAAAGTTACACAAATATATCAAGAAGATGCTAGAAAAACCTAAAAGGTATTGGACACCAAAATTTGCTATGCATTTAAGACAAGAAGCTATAGTTATACTAAAAATATTTTAAGAATTTGATTTAGGTAAAATAATCTTTAAATTGAAAAGAAATTTCAATTCCTAATTAACACACCTGTGTTCTAATATAGAAAGGGTATAATGCATTATACATTTATAGATTTAACAGCCAGGTCAATACTTTTAAAAATGATATTTAGTTTGACTTATCAACTACCCAATGCATAAAAGTAATTTTGGATTTTTTGATTCTATAATATTTTTATCATGTGTAATTTTGTTTCCGATCAAACTTTTCCTTTTTTATTTACTTATTATATTCGTTGTTCAAAAGTCAATGGGGATGAGAAACATCTGAGTTTATTATGAGTATAATTTCAGACAAGTTGATTCAAGATTGAAAATCATTGTTGGACATTGGGGACAAGATAGATTCGTGGTCATCGGGAGGGTGGGGGGATGTGGACGAGAGAAAATCTGCAAGCGGGGAAGACGAAGGTGCGTTCTTGCTCACTCTCACTGCCCAACTCCACTCCATTCCACTCTCCACTCCCTCGCTCGCTTGCTCTCTCGTGCTGCATGGGGGACAGGGCCATGGATGGACACGAATATATGAACCGATGCACGAGAATGAACCAGGGAGAATGAATCTTTGCCCGGCATCACCTGCCCAACATCCATCCATCCATCCATCCATCCATCCATCCATCCATCCATCCACCCACCTCCTCCTCCTAGTTTACCACTAGTCCCTCTCTCTCCCTCGTTCGCCCCCTCTCTTTTGCCTCCCTTGTGTGTGTTGATTGTTGCTGCTGCTCCTCGCCCTCCGTTTCTGGTTTCTTTCCTTTTTTGTTTTGTTTTGTTTCTTCCTTTTTCTTTTTTCTGTTTTTTTCGCCAGCGACCCACATTGTGTAGCCTTGCACACAGGGTTTCTTTCTGGTCGCCATGGAAGCACTTCACTTAGGTCGCGGAGCTGTGGTAAGGATTTTTGTGTTTCTTGCTTTCTGTATTCGGTCTTACTTGTGGGAATTCTTCCGGATTAGTGTTTTGGTAGCGATTGAATTTTTTCAGCGTCTCTGTTTCTCTTTGTGGTGTGGGTATCGTGGGATTTCTATCGATATTTTGGTTCTGCCTCGTTGTCCCGTGAAAAATATATGTGGTGGCAACATTAATCTAAATTGTGGTTGCTGGATAGTTAAGCTAGTTTGCTGTGTTTCTAGTTGAACACATGCGTCTTTGTAGGAGATTCTTTTCTTACTATAATATCCCCTCCTTTCGTTGCTTCAGGGGCATCTTAGAAAGACTCCGATGGAAAGGTCGTGTCTATCGTCACATGCTCCGACAAGAGCTTCTCCAGGCTTAAATGTGCTAGGGGTTGTGAAGAGTGTGCGATGTAGCAGCAGCGGCAGCGGCGTTGTGCAGACTGGTAGGCCTCTGATGCTCGTTAGACTCTACATTTAAATGCGAACGCAACGCATGCTGATCTCTTTAAGCGATGTAGAGGTTTTTCTTTGCAGAGTCGAGCTATTCTGATCGATTTTCATCAATTCTCGTCTCTTATCCAACCCATTCTTTGTGTCAGGGTTTAGGGTTGGGTTTAAGCCGAAATGCCTTAATGTTTCTGGACGGGTTCCTTCTCTTTAAAGACTGGGCATGTGATGCTGGAAACTCTCTGGAACTTTCTGCTGGCTCTTGGTTTGGTCTCGCTACTTAATTGTGTCAAGGGTAGGAATGGAAATGATACATGGTTCACGTATTCTCTGTGGCTGCCACAGAGCGCAGAGGAGCTGTTATCGATGGAAAATCAATTGCCGGACAGATTCGGAAGGAGATTGCGGCCGAAGTTGCAAATCTGAAAGAGACTGTGGGAAAGGTGCCTGGCCTGGCTGTTGTCTTGGTAGGAACTCGGAAAGACTCCGAGACCTATGTGCGCAGCAAGAAAAAAGCCTGTGAAGAGGTTGGGTTTGCGTCGTTTGGCGTGACCTTACCAGAGGATGCTACCCAAGAGGAAATTGTGAATTGTGTGAACCAGTTCAACGATGATCCGGAGGTTCATGGGATTTTGGTCCAGCTCCCTCTTCCCAAGGTAAGTATATTTCTACCCAAGGTTCAATATATCCGCCTTAGGTTCCATCAAGGTTTGCCATACCTTCATTAGTGCGCGGTTGAAATGAAGGGTGATGTTTCCCGATGTGAAGGTATTGACCTTTTGTTTATTACTGTCTGTGAATGCGCAGCACATCAACGAGGAGGCAGTGGTAGGAGCGGTTAGTTTTGAGAAAGATGTGGATGGCTTCCACCCAATTAATGTGGGGACTTTGTGCATGCAAGGAAGGAAACCTCTTTTTGTACCTTGCACACCTAAGGGATGCATAGAGTTGCTGTTGCGCTCGGGGGTTGAATTGAAAGGTAAACGTGCCGTTGTAATTGGCCGAAGCAACATCGTGGGCACACCCGCTGCCCAGCTTTTACAGGTATTTTATTCACATTATTGTTTTAATATCGTATAGTAAGCTTTGTAGATGGAGAGACAATAATTATTAAGTCGTAATTGGAACGGACTTAACACGTCCCTGTTTCAAGCTCCTCATCGTATGTATTTGCTGACGTATCTGTTGATGTCTTCCTGCCAGCGACAAAATGCAACAGTTACTGTGGTACATTCCGCCACAACAAATCCGGCAGAGATAGTTAGGGAAGCTGACATTGTGGTCGCAGCTTTGGGAAAAGCTGAATTCGTTCGAGGCGATTGGCTCAAGCCAGGAGCAGTAGTTATTGATGTGGGCATTAACGCCGTGGATGTACGAACCTTACATCGGAAAACCATTATTTTTTTATGCCCGTTTACATACTCTATTCAGAGCTGCGTTTGTTTTTAAATCGCCAGTCTATGTGGAGAGCTTATTGTGCTTTTATGTTATTGACTTCTGTTGCTCATTGCAGGATCCTTCAACAAAGAAAGGATATCGCTTGGTAGGAGATGTATGTTATAAAGAGGCCAGTCAAGTAGCATCGATGATCACACCAGTGCCAGGAGGAGTGGGACCTATGACTATTGCGATGTTGCTTGCTAACACGCTTGACGCTGCCAAACGTTCTTTTGGAGTCGAAAATGCTTGATTCATGTGCTCTGTTTAGACAAGGTAGTTCACCTTCAATCATTCAGGAGATCATCACTCGGCTGGAAAGCTGCTGATTGATATATCTGGCATGCCCTGGCTGGCATGAGTTGTGATAACCTAGTGGGAGTTGGGGGGTAGTTCCTATAATTTATTACTCCATCGTTTAGGATAAAGGAACGCTTGACCATTACTATTAAGGTTGGAATAGGATCCAGTAAGAATCCTTCAGAGTTTTCATTACAATTTTAGGTGCGATTCTGGTATAGAGCCGTTTATTGCCTTGGCAATCGGGCGCCAGCCTGCTTGAATGTAACTTAGTTGAAAAAGGTGATTTTTTTTTCGGATGGGATATTCATACAACGTTTCGTGTCTCATAAATTGCCGGCAGTCGTAATCGTTTATCCACATAAAATGCCAGGACATTGTCATGATTTGAGCTACTCATTAAGTGGTTTTTGGAAACGCAGAGTTTGCAACGGGTTAGAAGTTAAATTATATTCACCACTCAATCATCAGTGATGAATAATTCCACACGATCTTTTACTGTAAATTTATCCTAAAACATTTTAGTACAAATAAGAGTTTTATTGTGAGTATTTGGAGGGCATGAGAATGAATGTCTATGTAATCAAGCTATAACAAGAAAGTAAAAGTACAAAGTAAAAGTGCAACAACAATCTAGTGTAATGTAAATGTGGTTAAGTCAAGATGTGGATAGTCTTCTTGTTCTATTACAATCTTGTATATCTATTTTGTTTGTTTGCCACTAGAATAGTAGAGGGTTTAAACATGGCCTTTTTGGGTGATATTTCACCCTTGAGATCTCAAAGTATCTTGTGATATTTTGAAATATTACTTGATACTTCACCAAATCACCCACTTCGCAAGGTGAGTGATTTTGAAATCAAAATATCAAAAGAGGGGTGGGTGAAGTATCAAATATCACATTGCTTGCTTTAAATTTCTTCCCTCTTTAACTCTCCATACAAGGAGGGTAATAAAGTTAGAATTATGAGATAATATCATGAGTAATAAAGTTTGAACTATGATATTTTGGATTTGGTATTTTGAGTGATCCTAAAAATATTTGGTTTTGCAAAAGTGTCATGTTTGAATCCCCTATTACATGTCAATTGGTTTTTCAAGAGATATATTTGTTTTGAATTTTGTATTTTAATTATTACATATAATATGAAAGTATACTTATAAAATATTAACTTAATGTTTACAAATTTTAAATCAAAATAAAAAAACTTTATTTCATTTATATTTATTGTATAGTGTTTATGCACAATAAATCATTTGACTTTTAATTACAAAAGAATGTATGCTTTGCTTCTGATATATACAAAGTAATTAAGAAAATCTTAAATATTTGTTTCTTCTTCATTAAAAAATCCTATCAAAATACCAAAAGATGTATTTAACAGCAATGCATCAATCTTCAACATATATATATATATATATATATATACATATATATTTAACTAATACATTGTAAATCACCTTTTTATGTATTTATTTTCAGTTTTCTTGCAATTGCAAAATCTCCTTGAAATCATTCTTGTGAATTCTAACTTGATGAATATATTTTTGTTTACAATTATTAAATATATAATTTTAAAAATTGAACGAAATTGAATAATTTTTTTTGTTTCTAATAATTTAGACATTAATAATATCATTATATTTTAGAATTTCTGTGACACTTGTAAGTGTTTATGATAATAATTTTTTTTTTGTAAAGTAATGATATCAAAACATATTAAATGTACAATGTACTCAATCTAATGAAATTATAATAAAGTTCTCATCAATTGATTTTAATTTTATAAAATATTTAAAAAAAAATGAATTTTGGACTGAACTCAAATTATTACAACATAAAAATATAAATCAGTTTAAAAAGTTTCAATTAATTATGCATTTTAAAACATCTATTTATTAATTTTCGAGTTTGTGTGCAATGTAAATATAAAAATACAAAAAATATAAACTGAAAACTGAATAAAAGATTGATAAAGTAAGATATTAAAAAATGAAAATTAGTAGATACAACTAGTTAAGCTGGTATATAAATTTTTTATTATAAATACTACCATCAATAAACTTTAAGTGGCATTTTTATTAAAAATGACATATGAAGTAACGTCAAAGTTATAAATTATCATTAATAATTAGAAAAAAATATAACATCTATAAATATATAATTACATGTTTATTTTAAAATAATAATTAGCTAAAAATAAGTATATTAATACATCCAAAAAAATTAGCACAAAGTATATATATATATATATATATACATACATACACACAGACATATATATTAAAAAACAGTAACAAAACTAAAATAGTGAGTTAAATAGTTGAAATTGTATATAATGATGTTTTTATTTTAAATCACTAATTTTATAGTACACTATTAAATTTAGCTTTTTCAAAATCAATAATCTAATCAAATAAAATACTAAGAAATATTGTTGTAAAATTATGCTCTTTGCAAGAAATTATAAATTTGAGTGTAATTTTTATATTATAGATTTATTTTTTTCTATAATATATATATATATAATAAATATTTTTATTTAAATATTTATTATATATTTATTATATTTATTATATTTATAAAATAAATTATATATTTAATATATTCTTAAAATAAAAGTAGAAAAAAATGTGTTTTGATTAATGTTTTTATATTTTTATAATTATTTAAAAAATATGTATCAATAATTTTTTATAAAAATTAAATATTAACTTATTAATTTAAATAAATTAATTGTGCTATTTAATTTCAAAAATAACAGTTTAGTTATTTAATTTATTATTATAATTAATTTATTTGTTATTACTAAAGTATCACGGACATACATATATAATCTATTAAATACCTATATGATTAGGTAGAAGTAGGTAAAAATAGATAAAAGTAGATTAATTTCATAATACCTTCTAGTGAAGCTTCCTAAAAGTTTTATAGACATTACTTTGACTTTATATATAATTGTAGTTGATTGATAGATTAGAAACCTTGTCAATAAGTTAACTACATGTTGGTAGCTTATGAAACAAGTTATTTATACTTAACAAGAATTCTAATCTACTATTTTTATCTTTTTTAGAGGTAAATAGAATATTCTATCTCTATTGTTGTGTTTTGAAGTTTGCAAACCACCCACCTTTAAACAAACAATCTTATTTTCTAATACTGATTTTTTCTTTATAGAGAGTAGATTATCCTTCTTTTTAGAAATTTTCATTTGATATTAGAGATTATAGATTATCTTCCTCTAATTTAATTTTTTGAATTTGTTTGAATTATCTATGGAAGGAAAAATTATGGATGCTACTCTCAACAGAAGTGAAAATAGATTTGCAATTATTGCAGATCTTAATGCACTTGTCAATCCTTTAAGAGTAGAAATCTCACATATTTGCAATGTGAATCATGGAAGCACTTTTCATATGCCTATGGAAGAAGTTCAAAGTTTGCATCAAGAAGTTGTGTAGTTGAAGGAAGCAAGTAGATCAACCTCACAACCAAATTCAGGGAATTTTGCTTCTACAAGTATGATGAGGACAAAAATTAATATGTCTAAGAAGTTAGATATAATAAGATAAAAATTTTGAAGATTTCTACAACAAATTAAGCTCTATTTAAGATTGCATCTCTTCCAATACTATGATAGATTTACTCAAGTTGAATTCATATTCGTACTGCTATTAGGAAGTTCTCTCTCTTGGTTTACTCTTTTAATGAAAAATGATTCGCAGCTTCTTTATAATTTGAATTCATTCTTAGAAGTATTTATGGCTACATTCAGAGAAAGTGATTGAAAAAGACTAGTAGACATTAAGCTCTTATTTTTACACTAAAGATCACAATTTTATATTTTAATTTGGATACTATGTGAAGATATTATATTTATATATTTGATATATAATTTACTAAGTATCATGGTAAGAAAAATATTAGTGGATTTTAATTAGTTGTAGAATGTAATTAGATTACTACTTTAAAAGGAGGTTATTTAAAAGAACTACTATTAAAATTTATATAACTTTATTTTTTTTTTATAATGGCTTTTAAGATTGATTTTCGTTGATAGTAACTTTTATATATTTAAAGTCATCCTTGTTAGACATTGGTGACCCTTGAAGTCTTATTTTTTTTTTTTTTATTTGATGTTTAGAACATATATCATGTAAATCTTATTAGAAAAAGTATTGGAGAGGGGTCTTGGTAGCAAAATGAGAAGTTAGGACATCTATATGGATGAATGGAGATGGATGATAAAAATCTCCATTCCTATTGGCCAAAAATCATGCCCAATAGACTTCAAGGAGGCTGCCCAAGGCCTTATTAGGGTCTAGGATTATTCTTTTGAAGTCATTTGAATCTTGAAGGCTAGGATGAGCAAGTTTAGGATTTTTACTATGGTTTTGGTACATATTTTGTGTAATTTGGAGTTTATATGAAAGAAATATGGGCGCTCAAAGTTAAGGTGATGATTTTGTACTTATTATCACTCTTTTGCATATAACTTATGCTTACAGAAAAAAAAATGAAGGATTGGCAAATGGAATTGGAGAGAACACTTTCTCGATTATATTTTTTGCATATTTCTTGATGAAATTCAAGTTAGGATGAACAAGATATTGGAAGTTGAAGTTAACACTTTAAATCTAAGAGTAGTAAGTGACCCGATTCACTAGTGGTTGTATTTTGAACTATATCTTGAGCAATTTGACGAGATTTTGGCTCAAAAACTTTAAAAACATATAAAATCATGTTAATAAACTTTTTTCATAAATTTTGTGGCATTTGAGTTTTGGATTTTTGAGATATGAAGAAAATAGTACTCTAGTGCTTGTAAATTAGGATTTAGAGCACCTGCTAGGATTTCTAAGATGCCAAAAGATTGGTAGTGAATTTATGGTCCATTTTTTCTATAGTAAAGCTTAAGGATAATAGCTAATTTATATAAATATTTGAAAGAAATTGAATTTTTGGATCAAGAGATATGAATTTTTAAAATATAGCAAGAAAAAATCCTTTGTAAAAAAAAATATGTTTTGAAGGATTTTGCTACAATTTGGACATTTTATATAAAGTGAAGAGGTTTTAGAAGCCAAGACTTTTTATATAAGTTAAAGATAGAATAAAATACTTATTAGAGCTTAGCTAATAAGTTAAAACTAAACTTTCTATAGTTAGATACCTTGTGTATTTTTAAATTGTAAATCAAACCATACGACAATAATCAGCCACCATATATGCCACTGAATTCCAAAACCTGGCTAGCAATGTGGACTGGAATGACAAAGCTTTTATCAATCAATTTTAATATGGATTG